TATATATATATTTAGATCTTTTTTTTTATTATTATTAGTATTCATTGTATAAACTAAATAATTTATATTTTTCTATAGAATTTGGGTTTTGGTAACTACACTTTTGATAGTCAGTATACTGACTTCAGAAGTATTCGGAAAGGAGTCAAAATCTGAGACAAGTGAAATTACAACTGATGATCAAAATTCAGAAAAAAAGGAAACAATTAAATCCGAGTCAAAGTAAGTTAATGTTTTAAACTTTACTTTTAGACTTACGTTTCATTTTTGTATCTTTGTTCTTATTTTTTCTTTTTCTTTTTCTTTTTTAATGTAACAATTCTTAACGATTTTGTTTTTGAAATAAATTGTTTCAGGAAAGAAACTTCTTCGGACAAGGAGGAAAAGCATTTAGAGGGGAAAGATAAATCGAAGAAAAAGAAATCATCTTCATCTTCTTCCACTGATACAAATCCTGAAGTTGGTGACTCGGTTAGATCAAAGGAATCGAAAAAGCATCGAAAGAATCACAAGTTGAATCATACGGTTCATGGTAAGCATAAGAATAAACATGGAAAACAAGGAAAACATGGAGAAGAGTCAGGAAGTTTTCTTGATCAGAAAGAACGACATGAGAAGGAAAAGTACAAGAATAAAGGTATAAATGGACAGCCGAATAATAATAAAAAGCATAATAAAAGATTAAAGAAGGATTTGAAACATGTTAACGAAATGAATAAGGAGAACGCTGAGTCAGATTATAAACAATTTGAAAGTTCCGATTTTGATGTTGTCATTGAAAATAATAGATTTCGTAAAAAACAAAAGACAAAGAATGTTGCCGATGAAGTCGATTTGACGATCGAGAATAAAACGAAATCAGATCGTAAAAAAAAAAACAAGTGTAAAAATTGTAAGAAAGAAAATGTTGAAGAGAAATCAAACGTGTCAGATAATGAAGAAGAAGAAGAAGAAACAGGTAAAATGAACAAGAAAAAGAAACGTAGCGTAGATAATAAGGTAGATAAACAAAAATCGAAGAAATTATCTAATCGTCATCAAAGAGAAGCACCAGAGAAAGAAAATGAGAATGAGTATGATGTAGAAAAGGAAAAATTACCATCTTCAGCGGAAAATGAAATCGAGTGTGATAGACACGATTGTTATAAGAAGGAAAAAAATGTCGTAGAAGAAATAGATGAATATTAAAATTTCAAAGGTAAAGATTTTTCTTGATAGTTAGAGAAATGGAAAGAGATACAAAGAAAGATTTCTCTTATAGTTTCATTATTAGTCGTTAGATATAGAATTCAAATGTGCCTGATACACTCAAGAAAACGATAAATACTTAATGTGACATATTTTATTTATTTTAATCTATTTACATAATGTTACCAAGTTCAAGATATACATCTACTTGAGTTGTTATTTACATCGTCGAATTTTTAATCTTAACAGTTGTTTAGAATAACTTCTTACAAGTCATTTATAAAAACTGGATGTGCTGTAACATAAAACAGAAAACAAAAATAATATTTATACTTACACAAAGATTTTATTATATTTTTATATATATTTTCTCTTTTTATTATTTATTCAAATATTATGTCTGCTGATAATAGATTATTTTCAACACTTTGTCGATAATTATGATATACAACGCCATCTATGAGTAAGACTTTTTTCTTATAGTTAACTTTGAGTAAAGTATATATATTCAAGGGACAATATCATAATCATCATTATCGACCAAGTATGAAGTATTGTCTGTCTTCACGAACACACACACACACAGGTGTTATTCAGTTTTAAAATAAACAATAAATAAACTATAATAAAGTTTTAAATATAGTTAACTTTCACGAAATGTATTTCAAATGTAATCTTGATATATGTCAAATTTCGAAGCATCATATAACAATAATATTTTATACTTACAAATGGATTGTGCCATGAAAACTGCTACCCAACCAGTACCAATGTTATTCACTGTCGAAGTATATTCAACGAGTATTCTATTTCCTTCTGCTTCGAATCTCGCTGGATCGTCCTGTAAAAATAAAAGTACAAAATAAAACGAAATAATTTGAATTTCAAAATAATCTCTAAAAGAGAAAACAAAAAAAACTCACCCCTCCACAGTAAACATTTCTCAAAGCACGTTCTCCGTCTTTAATGAAATCATAAATTTTCACGTTGTTACGTTCGCAAGTTTTTTTAGTTCCAATATCGAAGAAGGTGAATTTGAGAAAGATTTTAAAATTTCGAGGAACGCTAACGTCCCAAGTACACACTGTATTATTTCTATATATGTCTGGGTACATCGGTGATGTGAAAGATCCGCCATAATTAAATATAGTACCACCACAACCACGTCCTGTACAATAAAATAGTCAAAGGTTACTTGTACGAATTCAATTTGAATATTTCATTTTGATATATTAATATTATTCGAATGAATTTTTGATTATTACAAATACCTGCGTCTGTAGTAACATAAGTTATGTCATAACCATCATAAGTGCTACTTTCTTCTGCCCAAGAATGTAAACTGAGTTTATTGCCGGTACTGAAAATTGGATTTGGAATCATCGTACCGCAAACAATTGCCAAAACATTACCGCTAAAATCTCCTTCGCGAATCTACAATAAAAGTATTATAAAATTCTAACACAGTTCTTATGATAATATTAAATTAAAAATATTAAAGGATAATTTTGTTGTCACCTGTAAAGCATTACGCGTACACTTTTCATCATCGTATAATCTGAAATTATTGAAATATAAGGAGATCGTACGATTTGGCAAGGTGGTGATAGTTATCCAGCAATTTATAATTCCTTGATGAACGATTCGACCTTGAGTTTCACTTGCCGTATAATTTCGATCACAATTAGTCGTACTGTATTCGATTTTAAAACCTTTTCCTCGTGAGGATGTTTTAAAGTAGACTTCAAATGCACTGCTGTAACTATAACACAAAGATCATTGATCAAATTGATCAAAAATATTTTGACAATTTGTCCAGTCTTATCCTAAGTTAGGATAATAAAAAAAATGATCTACCTGTAAAAATCGAAAGGTTTTTCTTCTCCACAAAATTTGTATAACGAAGTGGGATAACGACTTCCCTGTAAAAAAAAAAAAGAACAGAAAACTATAAGTTGAACAACAAAATTTCTCAACATCAATTTATTCATTAATTTTCTATTTGATAATTGATACAAGATTTTGATGATCAAGATTATCAAATCTTTTTTGAAATATCGGGGAAAAAATATTGAATATCTTTGAAAATACGTAGTTGACACTGTTGTGAAGACCGGTAACGTAGTCCCACGTCATGTCAAATTCTTTAGATTAATATCGATGACGTCAGAACTATTTATAAGTTCAATGATAAATTCTACGATAAATTCTACACCTCAAATTAAAATCTGTAGTCAAATATTGATAACGTAGTTTTATACAATTAAATATTAAATTTTAATTGTTAATTTTTTGGGTTCAATTTCGTTAAATGTTTATTATGTTTTCTTGTGAAACTTATTAAATATTCTATAGTATTATTTCTTAATTGAATAATATATTTCATATTTCAAAGTATTATATGCTATATTCAGTTAAATAATGTAAGCCGCGATTGTGTTAATATTCATTATTAATTTGTATTTAGAAGTTAATTGTTTTTGGCTCAAAGTTACATAAATATTTCTGTAATTATTAAAAATTTTCGGACAAAAGAGGAATAAGTATCAATTAACCATACCGTTTCGACATCTATCGGATATTTATTCGTGCCAGAGTAGATGAATTCCTCACCGAACCCATGATCGATGTACATTACATTCTGTAAACAACAAAATTTAATTTATATTATTGGAAGAGAAAAAAAATAGAGAGAGAGAGAGAGAGAGAGAGAGACAGAGAAAATATATAATAATACATAATCATATATTAATAATAAATATTATAAATATTTATTAACTATTTCAGTTACCTCGGAATCCATGATTGCCAGATACTCGTCTTTGCAATTTTCCGAATTTGTCATATTAAATTCCAACAATCTGATTCGCATTACACCATTATTTTCTCTAGAATTCTGCAGAGTCCAATGACAGTGAATATCAGGCTCATAAGGATTGGGATATCCAGGAGATGTTAAATAATTTTTGGTATTTTCAATCGTCCGATACTTCGATCCGCAGGGTGCTGGAAAATTGAATCAGTTCGTAAAACGTTATTTCGTTTGGTCAATTCGATAAATTCGAGAAACCTCTTACAGTTTACAGCTTCCAATGTTCCGATTACTCCGGATCCTTCATTGGTACCATCGCTAACGAATCTTATCCATAATTTATGTGAATTTGACATTATTACTGAAGGTGCTACCGTTCCACATATTTTGTCCAATAATTCCGAATATTGTCCTCCCCCATCGTGAATCTTAAAATGTTAATAAGTTATCAAAAATATTAAAAAAAAATTGATGACAACGAAAAAACGATTTACAGTAGATTTCAGTTCAAATTCCTATAACTTATCAAAGATTTTGCAAAGCGTGTATTAACTTATATTTTTATTCACGAAAAAAAAATAATAAAAAATCGTATTATATACAAAGAACATTTTAGTAGAACAATTTTGTACAACAACGTTTCTATAACGCGGAATTCAAACAACGCGTAATGCATTGGCATGTTATACAGGAATTAACTGTATCTTACTTCCAGATAATCGTCAGGACATGGGTCAGAAACAGTATAGTTTCTTGGATTGGTTCTAACATCCATACTAGTGATCGTTAGTTTAATACTTTTTTCATCTGTAGTAATGACTGTCCAATGACAATCTTCTAATGAGTTGTACTTTGCACCTCTCTGAGTTCTAAAACTCATTGATGTAATACTTGTTAAATTGAGAGTACCACCACAGCCAGCTGCAGGACTGCTACCGAAAATGACCTGAAAATTTGTTGTTAAAAATATTTATTTAATGTTTAATTAATGTTCATTAAAACTTCTTCGTTTTTATTGATTTTATTACCTTTGCAACGAAACCTTCATGATTCGACGAAAAATCAGACATGAAATTTACTACCATGTTATCTGCATCGGTTTTGAAGACAGGTAAATTATTTGTTAAATTGCCACAAATTTTTCCCATTAATTTATCCGAATTGATTGTATCGTTTTCATAAACGGCAACGTAATCGAAGTAACACCTTAAACAAAAATCAATTTTTTGGCATATGTGTGTTTTGTGAGAACAAATACGAATACAAAAAAAAATGTCCCTACTGTGGGCTATATTCCACAACGAATTTTTCAAATCGAACTATGATGCTTTTATCCTTTGGAGCTTTAATCAACCATGTGCAATTCATATGATCAAAATATTGCTGTTGATTCATCAAAGGTCTTATTTCCGTTGGACTGGTTATTATTCCACCACAATCTATTTTTTATTATCAACGTAATAAATGATATTTTATTAATAATCATGTATAACTGTCCAACAAACAAAGTTTCTTTTTCTTATGATTAACAATTTAACTTACTACTTGTAAAGTACTCGAATTGGAATCCATTTCTTTGAATAAACGAATCAGTTTTGAAAATGATTTCCATTCGTGACATTGATCTTTGCAAACGTGGCGAATTATTACCACACCAAATACTTTCCGGAGAATCGAAATATCTTGTACCTTCCGTGATGATTGTCAAATTATCGAAACGACAATCTCCTCGACCTGACACTTTAAATTAGTGAAATTTTATAATAAGTAAGTTTTAATATCACTCGTAATATACTTACTCTGTTCGATTTCAAAATCAAGAAATTGAATTACGATATCTTTGTCCTCGTCGGCAATGAGAGTATAATTGCAATTCAAGTTACGCCGATAATATTTCGGATATCCTGGTGACATGATGATCTTTCGTTCTTCTGTTACTCTGAAAACACCTCCACAATTTTCGTTCCAAAGTGCACGAAAACCATCCCCTTGTATGGCTTCGTTCGAACGAAAGATAACTTTCATTCGATTACTCGTAGAATTGAATGGCTTTGGCATGTTTCTTCCACAAACTTTACCCAATTCGGTCCAATTTCCATGAATATTATTATGTTGTAGTTCCCAATTTAATACCTATGACATTCATTGATTTATCAACTTCATTTGAAACCATATATTGAATCTGATTTCCAAGTTGTAAATATTTGAACATTTGGATGGGATATAAATCACTGTAATGTACCTGTACATAATCGTTCTCGCAATTAGTGCTGGTTTCTAAATTAAATCGATCAACAAAAATTAAACCTATGTGAAAACCATTCTCCGTCATTATTTCCCACGTGCATTCCGCATTGTTTGGATATTGTTTCGGGAATCTAGAAAAAACAATTATTATTGTTTATCTATAATAAATACATCAATGTAAGAAGGTAAAACTTTACTTAGGTGAAGCAATTTCTTTGTTGAATCCTCGTAAAGCACCTCCACAACCATGACTTGCTAATTGAAGATTAATTTCAAATTCACTCGATCCTGGTTCTTCAGCGTAATATTCAATCCATAATTCGTTTGAAGTGCTAAGTATATCGGATGGTTTTATGTCACCACAATAAGTACCGACTTCTGGTGAGGTTGGTCCACCGTTTCTAAAAATATTTATTTTCAAATAACAACATGTACATTTTTTTTTTGAATAAAGTGAAGTAACACATACCTGACTATAATATAAACGTTATCGCATCTTTTAACCAAATTGAGTTTGGTGAAGGTAAGATTGATCATTTCACCGTTATCCGCATATTTGACATGCCAGGCACAACTTATAGGATGTGAATTATTCCAATTCTTTGGTTGGGTTATTGTGTGTGATGGACCTCGGAGGATACCACCACAAGGTGCCCATTCATACTTTAGATTAAAGTTCATTTTTCTCATAGTCGAAGCACTGCTGTTTAATATCTGTTAATTATTAATTAAATTCGTTAAATACTTCAAAATTAATCAAATGGATTGCAGTAWTATTATTATTTAATAATTTGTCTTTAAAAAGAAAGTGATTTGGAAAGATGGTATGTACGATGTGTCACATTTGTCTTTTAAAAAATGTATAATTAATAATATGTAAAATATAGGATTCAAAATTTGATATTTTAGGGTTGTTAAAAGAGAAATATACAAATAATTACCGTCAATGTATTTTCAATCAATGGACTTCTAAGATATTTCAATTTCGTTGAGTTACCACAAATTTTACCAATGCCTGAAATTAAACAAAAAAGATATATTTTTAGATTAGAATTTGAAGAATTTATTGATTTCATCGTATTTACCTTTTAAAATAATAGAATTGTAAGCGTAACATTGGCCAATAAAGCCAGTAGCTTTAAGGGTCAGTGTTAATCCTGTATCATTGGCAGAATTGATTAAAAGATCCGGTGGTTTGATCATCCATTCGCATAGGTACGAGGTCATATTGTAGGGAGCAGGTGGAGCTTTGATTTCACCTTCATAATTGTTAAGTATTCCACCGCAAGCTAAAATGATTCAATTGTTAACACGAAATATAAAATAAAAAAAAAAAAAATAAAGAACTCATTTTCTCTTTCTTTTTTTCTTCTGTTGAGAAATTTAAAACATACGCGCAGGTGCAACAGCCGAATATCGAAGTTTAAAGCCCCTATAACCAACTGGTGCCCAATAACCGATCATCATTGTATTACCGCTACTTTTAATTTGCGGTACATCTGTATTACTCATTAAGGTTTGAATTCTCGATTTCATATGGAAGTCATTGTAAAACTAGAAACAAATTACAATTTTTTCCTATTACTTTTTCTTTTGATTTGCTTTTGTTTTATTTTCTTATTGATTTTAATTACCGATAACGAATAACTCGGTCCAAACGATTTATCAACAGAATCGAGATCTAAAATATCCACTACAACTTGAAAACCTAATGGTAATCGAATTTTCCAATCGCAATATCTATAAAAATAATAATAAAATTAATATTGAAATATTAATCGTATTGTATTTATTTATTTTGCAGATTGTATTGTACCTGGAACGTGTTCTTAAATTTGGATATCCAGGTGATTTGATTATACCGCTCATAGCGGTAAGTACACCACCACAAACTATAAATAATCACAAAAAAAGTTTAGCAATTAATTAATATAATTAAAAGTTTTTTTTTTTTTTTTTTAAATATTTCTTACCCTCTTGGCTGGCTGTATAATTTAAACTAAAGCCTCGGAAAAGGACATAATCACGATTATCACTGTAAAAAGTGATGAAAGCCTCGTTATAGGTTGTCTCGATGATGTTTTTCGGCAATTGAGTTCCACAAAATATTCCAAGAGTTTCGGAAGCTTCAACGATTCAATTTAATTATGAACAAAATGATTGATTTCAATTTGAAATAAAGTTCTTTTAATTGCTATTATTAATCTACCTGTTTCATTGCCAGGAACTTGTTCGGTTATTTCTATGTAATCAGCTGATTTACAATTACGACGAGTTGGAAGATGTAAATCACGGAATTGAATTTTCAAAGTGTGCTCTGCCGGACCAATTATCCACCATCCACAGACTTGACTTTTAGGGTAGGAGTTAGGATAATTCGGTGAGCTAAGAGTACCTTTCGTACCTCTCAGAATACCACCACATGCATCTATCACATAATTGACATATTTGTTTGTGTTTTCTCATAAATATATTATTTTAGAAAAAAACAATAATTTTAAATTTGAGATTTACCTCCAGCTGTAATAAGAGCTTTAAAACCATTCTTTGGTTCAGGTATGTCAGTATAAAATTTGATATACATCATGTTTCCTTTCGTTGTCATAGTACTTGGTGCCATGTCTGTACAAAATCGTCCCATTGATAATGAATCATCCAATCCACCATCCCTTATTTCCACATATTCCTTTTCGCAACTACATAATTACAAATTGTTTGTTTATCATTGTGTTGTATTACCATTGTTATACTATCTAATGAAAGGAATCTTACTTTTTACTAGTAGTCAAATCAAATCTGCCTATGAAATGAATCGAAATTCTTTCGCCGTCAGTTGCCATAATCTTCCAAACACACTCGGTATAGGGATGTGGAATGTTTGGATAATTTGGGCTATTTATTTCTAATTCTTTGTTTTCGTTTGACAATGTGAATTCTCCACCGCAATCCATGCCCTTTTCACTGGGAAATTTGTTATCGTTTAAAAACATTTCAATAATCATTTATAAAAAAAAAATAAAACAATTTTTTTTTACCTATATTGTAATTTAAACATTAGATTTGTACTAATACCAACAGCACGAACGTAAAGTTTATTTCCAAGAGTTTCCAAAAGAACAGGTGTAGATGATATACTTTTGCAATATTTTCCATCTCCGAGTAAAGGTGATGAAACATCTCCACCATTTTTCAACTGTAAACTTGACAATATTAAAATACATATTTTCTTTTTTTTTTTGTATTTTAATTAATTAATCATTTTTTTACCATAAGAAAATTGACATCACATGCGTCATTTTTCGTTTCTACTGTTGAGAGATATTTAATTATAACTTCTATGGTTCTACCAGGTCTTACAGTGACGACCCATTCGCAAGAGAAATGCCAACTTCTTATTCCACGTATGTTAGTTCTATTGTTGATTTCAATCACACCATTTGGTCCTGATAAATCTCCACCACATTCTATTAATAAACAATATGAAATATTAACTGAATAATTATTAACGGGAGTATTTCATTTTGGTCAAACTTACATTAATAAAAGGATGAATTTTGAATGCAATTCAAAATGTACTCACCTCTGTAAACTCTAGCAGAGAAACCCGTTTTGTTAATATAGGAATCCGTAACAAATTTAACTGTCATAACATTTTTGGTTTTTATGGTGGTCCAAGTAGAATTGGATAGACACAATTTTCGTTCGAGTACACTATTCTCAGTTGAAGTCAAAGCATATCCCGAATAAACAGCTATGTAATCGTAAACGCAATCCGTACTCTCTTCTATGTTCATCATACTTATTCTAATAACTAAATGAGTTCCTGGAGGAGAAGTAAAAATCCATGTACACTCAAGATTGTCTTCGTAACCATTTGGCCAACCAGGTGACCAGAGTGAATAACTATTGTTCGTGTTACTCATCAAAGCCACTTCTTCGGTACACTTTGATACTGTAAATCAAATTTCATAAATTTCATAATATGTAAACATAAGTTTGTTCAAATGAATTAATTCTTACATTTAATTTTTTGTAATTCCTGTTCATCTATGACATCTTTTGGTATTTGAAGCCAATTAAGATCAAATTTATCTCCGGATAAAATGGAATAAGCTTCCATGACGATGTAAGCAATGTTACTCGAAGTGACCAATGATGCAGGTGTCGTGTAAGAACAGTGTTCCAACAACACGGTTGCTTCGTCATTGTAACCATCGTAGACCTGAATAAAATATAATGAGGAAAAAATGATCATATCGTTAAACATCATTATCATGAAATATTTCTAGGTGATTACCTTCAATGAACTGGAACATAACGATGCTATATTTTGTATGTATACTTCTTTGAATTCCAATTGAATGATATATCCTACTTCGACTGTAATACGCCACCAAAAAGTGCCTGCATTTCTATAGAAAAGTGGATATAAGGGCGAGGTGATTCGACCCATTGGACCATAAAGTTCGTTTCCTGGTAAGAAACTATAATCTGCTAGAAATCCTTGAGCCGCACTTTCGGCATCGCTTTTGAATTTGATCCAAAGTTTACTCGAGGATGTGATCTGATCGATTTCTTGGCCACAGAAAACTCCTAATAGTTTACCGATTCCATTTTCCTCCCGAATTTCAAGATAATCCAGGTCACAATTTTTACTTTGTTGAATATCAAACTGATTAAAAGTAATACTTATTCTATTTCCAGGTGAGGTATTTAAAATCCATATGCATTCGGAATTCAGGGGATAGGAGTTAGGATAATTGGGTGATGCGATGGTTCCATGTTCAGATGTATAATTTCCACCGCAAGCTGTTAAAAATAAAAATAATTTGTCATTTATGTTAACGAGTTTGTGACATTTGAAGTTGTTTTCTATCTCACCAGAATTCAATACGCTATAAGTGGCGGAGAAATCGCTATGAAATTTGATTAAGCTGAATAGATGAATAGTTAGAGCACTTCCGGTACTCGTGATAGGTGGAGGTGTTTTATTATTGCACCATTTTCCAAGAACAGGTCCATCCATGTCTTCCCCTTCGATTACCTGCACGTATATCGTACAAGATGGATTTATCAATAAGTCGGGACTGATACTTATTAGGCGTGCTGGGGTCACATGCATGTGAGTGAATGTTAATGTCACGTGATCGGCTAAAAATAAAAGTAAACTTATAGATTTTGATATATGTTGTCAATACTTACAAATGAAAGAATAATTTTTAACTAACCAGGATTTTCTGCTATGAGTATCCAAGTACAATTTAGTACATAATCTTCTATATTGTCGCTGGATCCTGTGATAAATCCTTGATCCTTAACTACTATACGAGCACCGCATGCCGTTTTGTACGAAGCTTTGAATCCTTTTGCAGATACTATATTATCACTTCTCATAACTATTAACATTTCGTTACTGGTCGATACGTACGAGGGAGGAAGTTGATTTCTACAGTGAGTACCCATCAAATAACTATCTTTGGTTGGTCCATCGTATATCTAAAAAAACAAAATGATAGATGTTTGATAAAAATGAATTTCGTTTATCGAAATGTAAAGATCATTTTTCGTGATCGTACTTTTACATAATCGTCGGTACAATTTCTGCTATCCTCGATATCGAAGTCCTCGAACGTAACGTTTACAACGTGATTTTTATCAACTTGCAATAACCATTCGCAATTTTGATTATGGGGATAATTGAGAGGATAATTGGTTGTATGAATGATCCCTGAATTAGCTGTAAATACTCCACCGCATTGCAATGGTATACTTTTGTAGCTCGCTTTAAATCCGCGAAGAACGAAAACTGAATAAGATTCGAACGTGATGAAAAGTTTGTTGCCGGAACTTGTGTAAATAACTGGTTTATTTGAATAACATAATTCGACCAACTTCGGTGCATTTTCATCTTCCCCACCATAGATTTTTAATGATTTCAAATTACAAGTCATTTGATTTTCGATGTTTACCTGACAAATAAAGAAAGATTCAAATCAACATAAATTAATTCATTTACATTATTTAAACTACAATATAATTCAACACAAAATGAATGAAAAAAATGACAATTGTCTGTTTTTTGTTGTTGTTGTTGACTTACATCGAGTAACGTGAGTTCAATGCTATGGGTGTTATCGACTTCGATCAACCATTCGCATCTGAGATTGTCCTTGTTTCCCAAAGGATAACCGGGAGATGAAAATGTGTCCGAAGGTCTAGTCAGGTGTCCACCACAACCATCGACCATCCATTCCAATCGGAAACCATTTCCGGCGACATATTGGTCGGAAAAGAAATATACAAAAACTTGATGTTCCGATGAATGAATTTTCGGTGGTAGATTATCCGAGCCACAAAATTTGCCTAATTCACTATTAGGTTCATCATTTGAACCCTCTTTGATCTCGAGATAATCATAATCGCAGCTATTATTTCTTATATTTGCTACTTCCAAATCGAAATGGGAGAATGTCAAATTAATTTTGTTACCAATCGGTGCGTTGATTATCCAACTACAATTTTTCATGTGGTCATATACATTCGGGAAGTTAGGTGATTCTATGACGCCACGGAAACCACGTAACGTGTTGTGACACACTGTGAGAAAACAATGGAAATTTTTTAATTAGAAATATATATATATGTAAATGTAATGATAAAAGTAAATATCGTACTAGTGTCATATTGAATGTGAAAACCACGAGAAGATATGGTAAAATCGCTACGAAAACGAATGGTTACTATGTTAGATGTTGTATTTATGATCTGCGGATAAGTAGAACAATATCGTTCGGCATTTCGTGTACGAGTTGTGCCTTCGGATATCTCCACGTAATCATATCTGCATTTTGCATGATGTTCCAAATTGAGATCAACTATAACAAGTTGTATTGTACTGCCTGAGGAAACTACGATTCTCCAAATACATTCAGCATTATGTCCGTATGGTTGAGGATAATTCGGTGATATAATATCACCTCTGGCAGACTTTAATACTCCACCGCATCCTAACAGATATTATTTTCATTGAAAAATTTGAAAGTAAAAAAAAATATTTACAAAAAGAAGAAAAAGACATATCTATGTTATCAATTTACCTTCCACCGTGTAATCCCAATCAATGCTAAAACCTTTTTCCGTATTTGAAGCATCAGATACGAATTTGACATATAACTTATTCGTTTGACTGACTATTTGATTTGGTCCATCTATACCGCAGTATCGTCCGATCAAAGGTGAATTATCGTAACCACCATTTCTAAAATATATCAATAATTTCATTTAATTTTATCAAAGGATAAGATATTATTGAAAAATATAGAAGAAAAAATGGAAAACTTTTTTCATCGCATTCTACCTTATTTCCAAATAATCGAATAAACAGTTTAGATGACTTTCCAGTTCGAAAGTATCGACTTTAAGGGTAACTTTATGTCTGTTGGGTGCTTCGAGTACCCATACGCATTCCCTTGAACTCGGATAGTATCCTGGATAGTTGGGAGATCGGATAACACCACTTTGCTGTATGTAGTAACCACCGCAAAATTTGGAAGCATCGACAAAGACATAGGTAGCCATAAATCCGTTGCGTCTGATGCTCGAATCGGTCTCAAAGTATATCACTATCGTTCTGTCTCGTGAAGTGAGCGTGGGTGGTTTAGTACTTCCGCAATAACTAAAATAATAATTTCAATATTATTGATAATCAATTATTTTATCTATATTAATCTAATAAATAAATAAAAAATGTTTAAAAATTGACTAACGTTCCCATATGACTGTCTTGCGATTTAGAAATATTTTCATAAATGCTAACATAATCATTTTTACAACGTGACTGATATTCGAGATCGAATAACAACCAAGTGAGTTGTACGAAGTATCCTGGTGGTGCTTGAATAATCCAAGTACATTCTTCGTTATTTTCATAACTACTGTCTCCACCAGGTGATTGAATTATTCCGCTAGGACTTCTGTAGAATCCTCCGCATCCTTAATACAATAATGTGTGTGTGTTTCATTTTCAACATCATTTTCATTGGTAATAATAAAAAAATTAATGAATATTGATTTGAAACTTACTTCGATCTATGGACGTGTAATTAGCTTTAAAACCACGACCTTGAATGGTATTATCGCTTGTAAATATGAGATGCATGAAATTGTGAGTTGAATAGAATGGTTCGGAGGGTGCGATGTTGCTACAGAGGGTGGCGAGATTAGTGGAATTTTCGCTATCACCGTCGAAAATTTGTAAAGAATCAAAATAACAATCGTTAGACATTCCTTCTATATCCAAATCAAGAATGGTAAGAACGATGGCTTTGCTAGGTGGTAATATAATTTCGTAGGTGCAAGTTCTTGAGGCATGATAAGGATTTGGGTATAAGGGAGATGTAATGATACCCGTTAATTCGGTAAATTCACCACCACATAGGACCTCGTAAGACAAAGAAAATCCTTCCTTTTCAAAGGACCAATCACTCGTAAAAACTATTACTACACTGTTAGAATTTGATTTAATAGTCGGTGGCATGTCAGATCCGCAATATCTACCGATCAATGGCGAATCCGTACTATCACCATCGTAAATCTGAAACATACGAGTATTTTAAATCTTATCTTTCTATTCATGATTTTTCTTTATTTTCTATGTTATGATATATAATTGTGTTAGGAATTACCTCAACTGCATCGAAATGACAGCTTGTAGATTCTTCAAGACTGAACTTTTGCCAAGTGATTTTAATTTTTTGATCTGGCGGTAATTGTATTTTCCAATCGCAATTCATGTTTGCTCTATAAGACGACAAAGAACCAGGTGAATGTATTGAACCAACATCCGAAGTAAAAACACCACCGCAACCAGGTATACCTGATTTATATTCTCATTAATTTCACATTCTTTTATAAATAAGTATACGACTTTATGATTATAATATATTTAAACGTTTATACCTTCTACTGTTGAATAATGAATTTGGAAACCAGCATCTTGACCAGAATTATCGGAATGGAAATGAAGTGTAACTTCGTTTCCAGGTGAAGTTAAAGGTCCTGGCCGACTGTGATTACAATAACGACCTAAAGGTTCATCGTAATTCGTTGTGATCTGTAAGATAACAATATTAGCATACTCTATTTATGAAGAATTTTATTTTCAAATCAATAGATACAAACTTGGACAAAATCGTATTCGCATGTAGGGTGTTCTTCGAGCATCAGCTGTCCGAAATGTAATTGTATTCTTTTTCCCTCTCTTACCGATATATACCAATAACAATTTCTGTTAGGAGGATATCTTCCCGGATAACCAGGTGACGTTATTGTACCATAATCCTCTTCTAAAAATCCACCACAGATCGGTTCTATTGTATTCCAATGCAAAACGAATCCTTCGTGTGCTATGCTGCTGTCCGAGTGGAACCAGAAATACAATGAGTTGTGAGATGAAACGATGTTTCCATTATTATTGGGTAAAGTGTTACCGCAAAATCTGCCTATCATATGACTGCCAGCATTTCTACCATCGTGTATCTAAAAATAAATGCATATTTTGTTGTTATAAATTAAATTATTTTCTATTAATGCTAGGATCGATGTGTTTTCTATTTCACCTGAAGAAAGTCAAATTTACAATCGACAGAGTTTTCCAAGTTAAAACTCGTAAAAGTGACATTCAATACTTGAGTAGAATTGGTCACTAAAACCCAGGCACAACTAAGTCCATGTTGGTAATTGGTTCCACCAACAGGAAACTCTAAATAACCGACAGGATTTCGAGATACACCACCGCAAGTTTGTCGTTGCGTTTCACATCTGCTGCCTGTGTAAGAGTTAGGACAATCGCAGATCACTGCACCATTGGAGACCATGCAAACTCCATTGTTCTTGCAAGGATTAGGAGAGCAGGGATCGATTGGAGTATTGCATGTTGTTCCTGTGTGTTACATTAATGAGTCAGATCGTTTGTAATTTATTGAAATAAAATACTTGATTGCAAAGTTGAAAACTTTGAAATTAAAATGTTAAATTCATAGAAAGGACAATTATTATACCTGTGTATCCAGTATCGCATCTACAGAGAAATCCTTCGTAAGTCGAGATACACGTGCCGTGAACGCAAGGATGATTAGCGCATGAATTATTGGATATATCAGTTGCAGGCTGACATCCGTTCGGACCAAGTCCGTCGCCTTGATATCCTGCTGGACACCGGCATTGCACGTAAGAGCTAGTAAGCGCAGGATTTTCGATGCAGGTTGCTAAAGGGTGACAACCACCGTTATTAATCCTACAAGAACCAACATAGATACAGGAAACTCCATCTCCGTGGTATCCTGGAGGACACGGACCGCAGACCCTTGATCCCTGCGTAACGATAATTGACTTTACATTCCTCCATTTAAGCTTTCGGTTTAAAAGGGATTTCCAAGGATTTCTCTTACGAAAAGATTTTGCTTCATTAGCTTCTCGATTTGTTAGAATTCATTAACTTGTAAATTTTTGTTTAACTAACGACGGACTCCTTAATTCGAAAGTTCATTCGATTGAAATAATAATTGAATTCTTACCATAGTATTAATACATTGTACTCGAGGTGCTGTACTACATCCCCCATTATCCTCCAAACATTCGTCGATGTCAGTACAGTAATAACCATTTCCGGTATAACCTCGAGGACAGGCACCGCAGAAAAATGTACCAGGTGCGTTGAAACACATGACAAGTGGATTTACGGAACATGGTGGATGTTTCGCCGCACATTCGTCTACGTCCTTTGTGCAAGCTGGATTCGTACCATCGGTTTCCCATCCCTCAAGACAAATACAGTTTTATCAAAATAGAAATATCAAGAGAATTTCTTATTACTTTTTAACATACTTGATCGCAAAGACAGGTGTAACCAATGACGCTTCCAGGTTTGGGGACACATACACCGTGTCCGCAAAGTTCTTCAGAATTTTGCCTACTACAAATGGCGGTCCGTTTTGTGCAATGTAGTCCATACCATCCAGTTTGACAGTCACATCTAAAAGATGAGAAATTTGTAAAAATTAGTAATTAAAAGAGAGGAAATGAATATTACATACCGATAAGATCCAGGCAAATTAATACAAGTTGCGCCATTTTGACATCCTAAATCTGTGCCAAGAAATCTAGCACACTCATTTACATCCGTCATACAATTTGGTCCCTAAACAAAAATTCATAATTACAATGTAATAATAATTAGATTCCAACTATTTTAAAAAACCTCCAACTAGGTTTTACCTCCCAACTAGAAAGACAGTGGCATTGGTATCCCTCGTAAAGATCTTGACAGGTACCACCATTTCCGCAAGGATTACTTTGACAAGCGTTTTCTTTTAGCTTTCTCTCGATATTTTGCACCGTCTCTTCTAATCTTCGTAACTTTGTTTTTTAACAAATTATCAAAGAATTGTTTTTTATATTTTTTTTACTCTCTTGCTTATTAATGAAATTTCATACTTACTCTTTCATTAGTACGACGTAAACCGTTTCTCGTAAAATTGTCATCCTGTAAACAATTTCTATGTAAAATAATTGTCTAACAAATAATTATATAATTAAGTTTGCAAATAATAGTTGATCGAATTACCCATTGTTTGCTCGGTAAACGCGAGCTGTTCCCTCCAGTACCTTCAAGCATAGCAATCCTTCTTTGCAAACCTGTAGGACCTTCAACGAGATTGATTAGCCTTACAAGATTATCCTCCACTTGAACGAGATACCCAGCTCTCAATCTTTCAAACAGACGTGTCGCATTTTGAGCCTGAAGAAAAGGAAATCTTTAATCTGAAATCTCATATCTGCCTGTGCTTTTACGAGAAAATGTATAAGCTTACAGCCAAAGCGACGTGAAGTAAATTAATTTCATTAACGTTGATATAACCGCTTCCTAATACTTTAAGAGTAATATTTCTATCCTTTGCGCTGGATATAATCAAATTACCATCTTGTGCTTCAAGAACTGGCCTAAAAAATACAAAATTATATGTTTAAATAATTTCTTACATTAATTACAAATTTGTAAAGAACAAATTTACCTTTCATCCATCCACGCAAATGTCAATCCCAAATACAGCAATAAGCTGAACAAAATTTTGTTCGAACCCATTTCGATTCGTTCGAATATTGACAAAAATGATTAATATTTATTCGAACATTTCGTCTTCCTCGTTTTTCGAAGATCCTTCCTTGAAAATCGTTTTTGATAGACTGTGCCGTAGTGAAGCACGATATTGAAAGCAACTACTGCTATCATCTTCTTTACAGTCGAGTGGGCGTTTTAGAAGATATTTATCGAACTCCTCCCAATATCGAATTACATTCATTTGGAAGCGTCAATTGTAATACAAAATTCAATAGATATCAAAATATATAAATAAGATTAAAATTATAATTTATACGAATTTATTAAATTTATTTAGTGTTATTAAATCATTCGAAGGGAGCGCGCCAACTCAGAATCATCAAATCAAATTATGTGACTCTGTATTTGCACATATATCGATGTTCATGCGGATATTTTCATATATACCGATAAATATAAATGATAGTATATAATATATAACTTTTCTACAAAGTATATCGATACAGGTATACGCCTTTCATATATATCGATGATAAGAGCAGGCGTATATATACGCCTTATAAGCGTATCAATGAACATTAGCGGGTGTATATATATACGCGTTATGTGCGTATCAATAAACATTAGCATTATTATTATTATATATATATATNTATATATATATATATATATATATATATATATATATATATATATATATACATATGTATATTTAAACTCCTATATTCGTATATACGTTTTTCGATATCAAAGTTTTAAAGAGAATGTTTCAATTTACAGAGAAAAATGTGAATGAAATAAAATAAAACAATACGAATTTGGCGCGTTTGAAGGGAAATAGTTACTAAGTATTGTCGGTAGAAGGAGTTGTTGTCAGTGATGATGGTGGCGCCGCGTAACGAGAAACTACGAAAGCTTTATTACTCGGCGCGACGAGGCGAGGCGTCAGTGATGCGCGCTGCGCCGGCAATACACGACAATATACGGAAATATACGGCAGTATGCCAGTATGGCTTTGGCTGCCGGCGGGTTCGCGTTCTTCATGTTTTTTCTTGGTGACGCGCCGCGTACTCGGCCGCGGGTGTCCGTCTTCTCCTGAGTTTACATTTTGTGACAGTTAAAGAAAAAGAGGAGTTCTTTAAAGAAACAATCATCAGAGATAAAGATTGAATCGTGATAAAGGGCCATTACGTACGAGGGTGAGAGAGAGAGAGAGAGAGAGGCACGTACACACATACATTATACACACACACAATAAAGATAGAAAGATACAACCACCCTTGGACATGCGGCGAAACGTGAAAATAGTGCTCCTTCTGTCATGCGCCTGGATGTTCGCTTTTGTTTACTACTATCACACGTCCAGAGATACCAAGGTAAGAATATAAATATAGAATCATTTTTTTCTTATGTCCAATATAAGATTCTTTTTATAAATGCAAAGAAAAATATTACAATGATTATTAATTTTGATAATCTCATTGTGATATTTCTTATGTGTTACGAATTTATTTATTGAATTATTTTTCATACACTTAATACGATACATATCAAATTTTTCATATCATTTTTCATCATTATTTTATATCTGTATTTGTATCTTGTATTTTTCATTATTTTTCTAACCTCCCTTTTGGATCCCTGGAATTCGAGGGGGTGTATCGATTATTAAAGAGACACTACTTTGCTTTCCATGCGTGTCATCTCTCAAAAAAAAAAAAAAAACAGAAAAAAAAGGAACGTATAACATCGTCTTTGTTTGACAAGATATTTATCGGAATTTTGAAAATTATTGCTTAACAGAATTTCATTTTAACAATGACATTCGTCGAGTCACCCCTTTTTCTCACGTTTTCAAATAACGCGTGTGAACTTGTCGAATGTACGTGACACGTGCTTTTACTTTCTCGATTCGCATCGATTGTCGATCTATGATCAAATAAATTCCAGGTTATTTTATTTTAATTCATCCCCTTGCAGTTTCTTTTCTTTATCGTTGTTTGATAGTGTTAACCCCTTCCCACTCCCCTACTCTTCAGTGTAAGTATTTATCATACGGGGTGATTCACCAGGGTGTCACCTAAATAACTTCGAAAGTATGCTAGTAGCAGAAAAGTGGATAAGAAGAAAGTTGCATGAAAAATATAAAACTATAATATGATATTAATATTTTGTTTTTGCTAAATTGAATCATTTTCGAGATTTATCTGTCAATTTATCTGTCAATTTATCTGTCAATTTATCTACAATTTTAGTTAATCACCTTGTATATCTTGGATGCAACTTATAATTTTTTACTTTTAACACCTTTGAGTGGTGAATACTTTTAACTAAAATGTTTTGTAAGAACGGAATAATTTATTATTAATCAAATTATATATTTAATAATTAAATTTGTTGCTTTTGAATAGAATTTAATTAATTAATACAAAAAATTCCGTTATTTTATATTAATATTAACAAACACGTATATACGTCGATAGACCACTATGGTAATTTTTACCAAACGTATATGTGCGCTCATAGCACTGTAAGGATTGAAACAACCTAAACTGTCATTAAAAGTATGTTTTGACGTGAAAATAATTATTAAAATGTTTGTCACATATCGTATAATTAATTTCTTTTATTTTACTTTTTATTTTAAGTGTAAAAATTTACAAAGGAAATACAATATCTTTTATTTATAATAAATAATTTCCTATTATACCAATTATTATCTAAAATTCGATTATTTTATTCAGAAAGCGAATAATTTTTCTTATCAAAGAGAATAGCAAGTTTTTTTTTTTTTTTGATTAATTAACTAATTGCCACGGATTTTGTTTAATTAATTGAGAAAAGTCAAGTATATATTATAACGAGAAAAATTCTTTTGTAATATTTGTGTATACGTTCAAAGGAATTATCGATTATTATTATCCAAGTATTGGAAATTTCCTTAGAAATGATTGGATTATTTTTGTTTTTTTGTCTGCAAAATTTTTTAACGAGATAACTTTATTTAAATATATCACGTTGAATACAATTATTATTGATTTATTTTATATTTTATTTGTCCTGTGTATTCGTTCTTTCGTTCGTTTTGTTTTATTTTATTTTATTTTTCATTTTAATTTCAAAGTATTTTTTTTTTTTATATTGTTTTTAAATACAATTAACGTATTATATCATTTTGTAATTAATTTAAAATCACGTACGTACGAGTCAATTATAATTGCAATAATAATGGATAGAGATTTGAATGTAATCACGGTGTACTTACCTACCTACCTTTGTAAATATACAGTTAAAAAATGGATATAAATAATATCGTTAATATATGCGTTTTGAAAAATATCAAAATTAAATTTATATAAAACAATAATGAATACTTTGAATCGATTTTGTTGGAATAAAATCAAAATTATTAAATGAACGTTGTTTATAATAAATATATACATATGTTATCGTTAAAAAGTATAGTTTAATTAATTCATAAAACAATTAGGTGTGTATAAACAAATTTATTATACCATAAAACTATTGAGTTTACAAAATCAGGATGTTATATTTATACGAATGTACAAGAACAAAGTAAATAAAGTTTGAAAATGAAATTAGATTCATTTCCAAGATTTGTTTTTCGTTTCAAAGATATGCACATAGTTATCAATTTTTATCTTATCCTATACCTTGCATATTAATTTTTTTTATCATTTAATGTATAATTAATTCTCATCATTTAATTTTTTTTCAAATCATTGCAAATTAATTGTCAATTACATATTAACTTTTCAATCTATGTTAACTAAAACATTTTTACAGTGTATCTTATATATCATATAAATATTGAATAGTTTTTCTTTTTTTTTTTTTTTGAATACCTTGTGAACAAACCCTGACGCAATCATGTGTATATGCATATATACAGTAATCGAGGAAAAATTGTTCGAAGATGAAATTCGGTCGAACAAAGATCCGGTAGGTGAGTTCGATGAAACGAACCAGTTCCAGACGAGTTCCTTCTTCGTTGCGTGCAAATGATCGCGTGTTTATTTGCCTCGTTTCAATGTACTTCTATCTCTTTATCTTTTCTTTCTTTCTTTCTTTATTTATCTCTATCTATCTTTCTCTTGATCTTTCTCTCACGTAAACAGTATTCAGAATAATCGATTTTACAGTTAAATCAAATATTATGAAATGTTTTATTATATTATTATATATACCGTTTATTTTGAAAGTACCCTTAGTTCATTTATATTTAAATTGAAATATACGAATTTTTCTTATTTCGTTTAATTAATAATGGATTTTTGGCGTATCAAAAATCATTATTGACGTTACACAAAAATATAATTTAATTTAAAGAACATACTATAGTGGATGCAGATAGTACACCTATCAATTTGAAATAATATGTTTTGAAATTGTAGTTTTGTATAAACGATTAATTTATACATATTCTCGAAAGTATCTACAATAGATGTAATGTAATTTGTTGTAAAATGAAGGGTTTCATGGTTAAGCCAACACCAGCTGCATTTATGCAACCCCAAACAAGTATACAACCTTCACCGTGTTTCATTGATTTCTGGTTTCAGTTCTTCATTTTTTTTTTTCTCTATACAGTGCAGTGTCCATAACTTTTTATTTCGTTACATCTATTGTTTTCAAGAATTTCAAGAATATGTATAAATTAATCGTTTATTAAAAATTTGTTAATAAATAACAATTTCACAAGAGTTTATTTCAAATTGATCGGTATACGAATACTTTCTACACCCACTGTATATAGAAGATACGTATACATATACATATATATGTAGGTATGTATGTATGTATACATAAACATAAGATCGTTTCGAGAACTAGGAGATCCGATGGAATACCTTGTACTTACGTGTGCCATGAATTCGATTTAATCGCACCTTACGATGCGAGGTGAAAGTTATTCTTCTTCGGGAACTATCCTTTCGGTGGATACTATGGATTAGAAAATTATTCTTTTTTTTTTACACTTATTTCTAAAATGAAAAAACGAAAGAAAAAATGTAAATTAAACGTAAGATAACTTTAGAAATAATTATACAATTAATTATAGAGGTTTATTTGAATTTTATTGTTAAAATAAAACAATGATGTGTATACTCGTCAAATACAGTTAACTTTGGGATTAAGTATATATAATAGTATTCATATTTTTAATATTTTATATAATATTATATATTTCATATTATATAAAAAAAAAAATGTAAATTAAACGTAAGATTAATTTTAGAAATAATTATTCAATTAATTATAGAAGTTTATTTGAATTTTATTGTTAAAATAAAACAATAATGTGTATACTCGTCAAATACAGTTAACTTTGGGATTAAATATGTATAATAGTATT